GGAGGATGTTCCCTGTCAATGTGTTTTCAGTAAATTTAAAACCAGCCTTAACACACATGCCTAGAATTCACGAATGAGCACGTGAAAACTTCGGTGCCAAAACTGAAAATTCGGGAAATACAAAAGCTACGAAGCTGGAATTTCAAGGTGAAATATCCCAAGTCCGACCCTAAAAATTCCTAAATCTCATATATGGATACGTGGAAAATTTATTATGCTGGGCAACCGTGGAAATAAAAAATTCCGCTTCCATGCAAACCCATTTATGTCCCAGTTACGGAGAAGTAAAATTTTACGCAAGAAATTAATTTTTAGCTCGAAAATTAGACAAAAAAGAAAGCTAAAAAATTGTTGGAGGATATTTTCTGTCCCCGTGCGAACTGCAAATTCAAATCTGGCTCTCATGAATACATACATTTCACGCATGAGAGCACATGAATTTCGTATTTTGCGCAAAACAAACAAGTAAGCAGTAAAAATGTTCCTAGCAGCAATTGCCTGGCGGGCAGATTGATGAACAGATCTGATTATCTTGGGATTGTAGCGCTGCACCGCAAAAACGCATAAAGAGATGCAGTGCTGCTTTAATTTAGAAGATCGAATAACGCCACCATTAGCAAACAAAAATCAGTAGGCAAAACTGAGCAGAATTTGGGGGTGCAATTAGACTGCATTCAGGTTTGTAAGGGTTTTTGCATGTAATCATTTGTTTCTACAGTTTAGGGATGAAACACAGACCGGACAACAGCTAATGCACATGTAGGCTCGCTTATCTGGATATCTGAATTAGCACTCACTGCTTTCCCGCAACTGACAATATTCGACTGTGTCCCTTTCATCGGCTGGCTTACAGTGCCAAACAAACTTCCACAGTTTACATTTTTCAAAAATTTCCAAAACACTTAATGAGCAAATCTGAATTGGTGTTGGTAAAAAAAGTGCAAAAGTGGCAGGAACGAGCAAGAAGAGAGATCAAGCGCTGTGCTATTAGAATTCAGTCTAAAATCTAAATTAAAAAAAAAAAGAAACCTTTCATTCGGCTCTTAATTTTGTCTCTGAAGTTGAAATCGCTCCTTGACAATAGCTCTCTGGCACGTTCCATCACCAAATTCCCTTTGTGATAGCCTTCGATGTCGCGGATAAGGCAGCCAGTATCAAAATCGAGTAACGAATTATCTTCCATCTCATTACTGTCACCTAAAACTGGGCGCAAAAGCAAGTTAAAAAAAAACCCTAAGATGCCAAAATAAGTCTTCCGAAAAACGAAAAATACCAAAATAAATCTTTCGAAAAAATAAAAATACAAAAACAAATCTTTCGAAAAACCAAAAATACCAAAATAAGTCTTTCGAAAAACCAAAAATACCAAAATAAGTCTTTCGAAAAACCAAAAATACCAAAATAAATCTCTAGAAAAACCAAAAATACCAAAATAAGTGCGAACAAAACGCCGAAAACTGAGCAAAAAACAAGAAAAATATACTCTGTGCGGCGCGCATATCAGCCAACTGAGATTTCGAGTAGATCTGACGCTCTTCGAATATATCCAAAATCCGACTTACCGCTTTCTGCACGTTTTCGCTACCTCTAAACAGCATAAAGGTAGAAAAAAAAAGGCTAACAACTGATACCACTAGAAAAATCATTAAAAAAGAACGGGTTCCTCAAAGCTGAACAAGCAAAATCAAACAAAAATACAGTAACACACTTCGCGTATTTCCATTTCTAACCTCGAATATGCAATGGCATTCACCCAGTGTGGCGCAAATGCTTGCAG